AAGTACTTAAAGATACTGTGCTAGGTGTTGTGTTAATAATTTTCAATAGGAGTTATTAGATGACTCTAAGATTGATGCGTTGAACAGATATTGATTGTGTGTGAATGTATATAAGGCACTTTGGGGATACAAAGATGGATGACTTTCATTTTTGTTTTCAGGAACTTTCATTTTAGAAAAAGGTAAGATCTGTATACATGAACAACTATAAATATGCTTCCAAAGGCTCAAATCAAGTGCAGGAGGATTTTAGAGTACTGAAAAATGTCTTTCATCTGGGAGACTTGTGGAGAATTTTATTGAACAGGTAAAATTTGACAAGAAGATGCTGTATGTGAAGATTTTCAGGGAACTGAGAGAGTGTTTACAAATACTATAAAGAACATACTATATGGAACCTTTCATTGGTGCAGATCTGGAGTATATTTAAGAGTATTTCACCAGCTTTCAGGACTGAGGCATGACGCTTTTTGGTTTGTTCTAAGAAAATTAAATATATCAGTTATGTGGTATCATTTTAGAATCTTTACCTACATTCATTTTTATTCATCATCCAGAAAAAGCCAGCCAGCTCTTCCTAAGATATGATGATGGGTAAGGACTAATTCTTGATTTATTCCCCCCTCTCAAGTAGCAATATGTATTAAAAGGGCTGTTTTCCCCATCAGTGGTAATCTTGCAGAGAAAAATGGGTATAAAGATACAGATTTTCATATGTGGAAATTAAAATTTATTCCCAATAGTACTACTAGTACTCTCGTATAACTATTCTAATACTTTTCTTCCCCATCTTGTTCTCTAATAACACCCACCGTTTATTAAGCAGACTTCCCACATGTGGAGACTGTCAAATAGATTAATTCATTTAATCCTAATGGCAACCTTATAGAGCAAATCTTAGAAAGGGTAAATAACCTTGGTATACAATCGACCGGAGTGAGGCTAAAGCCCGGGCATTTGACCTCAGCATGGTACTGACTGTAAAGGCAAAAAGTTTAGTCAGTTAGAAGGGCCACAATTTCCTAAGTGGATGGGCTTCATTTTGACCAATTTGTGTGTGAGGTCATCTTCCTCCTCCTCTTCCTCATTCTGTTCCTCTTCTTCCTTCTTTTCCTTTTTTCTTTCCCATAACTTTTACTTAATTAGAAAAATAAATCCTTTGAAGACATTTTATTTTGTATCAAAATTAAATATTTTAAGATTTGTAATTATAGAGAAAAAGTGAAAGTAGAAGGACTTGAGTAAGATGAACAGTCTAAATGGCTTTATAGTTGCTTAGACCCTGAGCATTTCTTTGTATTCAGTAATAAGTTGAAGTACAGTAGAGTTGTCTACTGCTGTCCAGTCATGAAGAATACTACTTTTTAAAAGTTCAACCAAGATATCCTATTTTCTTAGAGTCCATTAAGTTTTTATATAATAATGAAAATATTTTATTAAACTCAATTGACTTGTAGAAGATGGCTGAATTATGACATGCCATACAAAATGAGGGACACTGAAAAATTTTTTTCTCAATTCTTGGGCAAATGGGAAAGTATAATGAAAAATAAACCTGTAGGAAATTTGATTTTTTTATTAACAATTCCCATAGACTTCATTGCTTCATGAAAGAGATAAAAACTATGTGGCATTGAGTTATGACTCATAGTTTTAAACAATATGTTTGGATAAGTATTCAAATAATATACATTTGAAACTTGGTGTTTAGTTACTAAATAGTCCTGTATAATTGATTATTCTTGGTGGTTAGGATATAATTGCTTAATTTTGGTGAAGTATATTAGTTCTTTAATGGGACCATGTTTGAGTGATTTCAGAAATAGAACTTTTTTGTCTGCTTCACTTTTCTTTAAAATTTTTAAACAAAACTCCGTTCCACAAAGTTCTAGACCATAGTACCATAGAGTTTCCTTGAATATTTAAGTGGGAGGCTCAGTTGATGTGCTTATTGAAAAGGAGTCACAGTTTCTTTTCTTCTGAGGCAATGGCTTAGTCTTGGGGGCTACTATAACAGAGTAGTTCATTAACAAAGGATGTTTGCTTCTTACAGTTCTGGAGGGTGGGAGTTCCAAGAGAAGGTACTGGTAGACTTGGTGTCTGATGAGAGACTAGTTCCTTCTTCACAGAGGACACCTTCTTCTCATGGTGGAAGGGGCAAGGGAGCTGTATGGGGTTCTTCTATGGTACTAATCCCATTCAAAAGCTAGACTTCCTGAAAATGTCACATTACGATTAGGTTTTCAACATGAATTTTAGGACAATACAAACATTCAGACTATAGGATGTAAGGATGGGTCAGCAACCAAGATGGATTAAAATATACCTTAGAAATGATTTCTTCCAGCTTGTTGAATATACAGTTATTTACTATTATAGTCTGTTTTTAATTCAGCACATGTATTTTAGTGACAGGCGTCTTACTTGGTTCACATAGAGAAAATCATTTTTTGGTGGTGGCCATGGTGGGGAGCAGGTGAATGTGCTTTGGAGGAAGGGAAAGATGGCAGTGCAGTGTTTTTGAAAGGCTTTTGGCCTTGTAGATCATGAAGTGTAGTGGGTTCTTCATCAGTGTGTTTTTTTAAAGAATAGAACAAATAATACGTTAGTGCACAATAAGTAATACAAATGCTGAGAGAAAATGTTCGGTAATATATTTGTAGTGTATGTGGATTGGATCACGATGTGACTTATATAGTCAAAAGTTCTGAGCCAAAATTGTCATGGATTTTTCAAGATATGGAAAAAATGACATCATCATTGTAATAATAACTGCTACTAAATTGTAACTACCTTCTTTTATTTTAAAAAATAACTAATATTAACGAATCTTTTCAGTTACTTCTAAGCTCCTTCTGTTATTCAGGTTTTCAAACATTTTCTATTCCTATCCTCTGTGCTTAAGGTACTATATTTTGTGCATAAATGGTTATCAGTATTTCTCTTTTAACAATAACTCTTAAAAGTAAAATGTGTGAGTAGTACCCATTAAAAAGTTCACCCTCCACAATTTTGGAAACTAAAAATATAGTACTATTTCACGTGTATATTAATTAGCATATAATTTTATTAAGTTTTAAAAAATACCTTTTTAAAAAATTGACATTCCTTAGGATAGTGTTCTCAGTGGTGGTCTTGGTCTGAAGAATACAAAGCACTGTTCAAGATGTGTTCTTGAACGACTATTGGTGTTGTAGTACAGAATTCTTTAGCATAAGTACTTGTCAGTTTTCTGAAAATGAAATAAAGACATTTCCAAGCATCTACTGTGGTCATGAATTCACACCATCACATCATGCTACAGTTGCCACTGCATTATTTTCCTTCTCTCAATGTCTGTTTATTCCACGCACTGCTTTGCATTTCCTATGTCCATATCATCTCATATTGAATCTGGATAACTCTTCTTTCTTGATCTCACTGTTATACTTCATTGTGAGTTAAACTGGCAGAAACCATTAAAGGGGGTTTTGGTTGGAGCTGTTCCTAGGATTGAGGCCAAACTGACTTTCCTTTGTCTGTGATGTTGTTTGATTTCTTATTATCACTGTCTACTTTTCTGCTCGGGCAGAATGTCTCCATCTCCATTGCTCTGCTGGGTGAGTCAGAGCTCTTGATGTCTGGATGTGGACAATTACTTTTTGCATCATGCAAACCTTTGATTGAACCCAGTCTCTGACCCTGAGCACCTGTTTGATCTGTGAAGTATGTAGATAATCTCTCAGAATCTCTGTTTTCCCGCTGTAGAGAATACCTTCATTACAGGTTTGTTGTGAGGCTTAACTGAGATGTATATTAAAAACCCAGACACAATATTAGCTTGTCTCCATTTCCCTCCCTGCCTCCCTCCCTCCCTACTTCATTCAATATTTGGTTCTAATTATTGTGAGAGATAACTTAAGATTTTTGAAGGGTAACTCAAAAGCACCTTAGAGAAAACTAAATACAAACAATCAAATGTAAGTAAACAGTGTATCCTACTGACTCATACAATCTAGTGATAGTTACCTCAAAAGACAAACACAAAACAGTGATGACCCTTCTTTCCTCTCTTCCTCCCCTTCATACAGGGTCCCACTACTTGCCCAGGCTGGCCCGGAACTTGCAATCCTCCTGCCTCCGCACCTCCCGCTGCCCTCTTGTCCTCAGCAGCTAGGATTACAGGCCTGTGATGCTGAGGGGCAGCGTGGGCTTCACTGCTTTTGAGATTGGGACCTCTTTCCCAAGGCTGCTCCCAGACAGTGACAGAGGTGGGCAGAGGTAGTAGAGCTGACCCCTAGCTGGGACTTGAGCTGCTCCTCTGGTAGCTAAGGGGCAGGAGCCCTTCCTGATGGGCTTCTTGAATCTTCCTTAGACTACACAGCAGTCCAGGATGGTTCCATGCGCTCTGCCTTGCCTCTCTTCCACTCAGTTACCCTTGCCTGTGGGCTTTCCCAGTCTTCCCTGACTCGCTCCCCATTTTCTCTGGTAAGAATTTTCCTTAATGAGATTATTATATGTTCACACCCATCTTGGCTTCTGTTTTTCAGAAGTCCTAGAAACATTCTTCTACTATTTCTATTAAAAGATGCTATGATGAAATCACTAAGGCAAGAAAGGTTGTTTATAATATTTTAATGCTAATATCCTTAAGTTTAGGAAAGTTAAAACTCCTGCTTTGCAGCCTTTTGGAAACTTTTTCTCATATTAATTTATTGATAGTCTGTACATAAATTTGCCTTCAGATGGATTTTAAATTGTTATACCAGTAAGATCAGGGGCTTATATTCTGAAAAAAGATTAATTTACTTCAGATGATCAGATGGATGTGAAACATTAAACTGTTCATAACTTATCTTTGAAATGTCTAAGGGTATTAAATGAGAAATTAGCAGGAAATATTTCTGAGATTGCTATCTTATTTTTCTTGGAAATATTTGGAAATTCTCATTTGTATGACGTATACAAAAGTGCTTACATTTTATACATTAGTGTTAAAATTACTCTATTTTTCTTTACAGAATCATAGTGAGAGATTCGTTTTCATTGCAGAGTGGTATGATCCAAATGCTTCACTCCTTCGACGTTATGAGCTTTTATTTTACCCAGAAGATGGATCTGTTGAAATGGTAAATGAACCTTCTGTTGCTTGAAAGTTGGTAAAGAGGTTGAAGGTAGGACAGGGTATGAATAGAATTACCTTTTATATAGTTGCTTTAAAAATACATTCATATGTATTTTCTGAAAATTTTGTGGGGGGTATCCATTATAATGCCAATGTAAAATTATAACTTTTATATTTTTAATGCCTAAATTTGTAATATTTTGAAAACTGAAGCGGGATTATTCACATTTTAGATAAGGCAGTAATCAATAAGTAATTATAGGTAAAAGTTATTATGGTCATAAATGTAAGCATTATTGAAAAATATCTGTACAAAACATGAGATTGAAGAGATTTGGAGGAAGAGGGTCCTTTTCTTTGTGTCCTTTCATAGGCAGCACTGTTAACAAGTGAGTCTGTTTGTTAATGTAATGCACATACAAGAAAGCAGAAATTTGGACATATGACTATCTTCCTGTGCAATTTCATAGGCTTTAATTTGCTGAAATAATTTAACTATAAACAAATATTTCTATTCACAATGTTTTGAGTGTTATATTTGTAATAACCAGCTTTTATATATGTGTGTATATCACTGGATTAGATTAGGAAATACAGAATTTATAATATAAATTGTATTTGTAGCACAAAAGAAACAGAACATAATGTATCTTTGATAAGCCAGAACTAAGAACTATGTCTGTCTCATAATAAGTGAAGATGCTTTATTGATACTTATATTTTTTAATTGTGTTGTTGTTTTGGGTTATAGCATGATGTAAAGAATCATCGCACCTTTTTAAAACGGACCAAGTATGATGACCTGCGCTTGGAAGATTTATTTATAGGCAACAAAGTGAATGTCTTTTCTCGACAACTGGTGTTAATTGACTATGGAGATCCATACACAGCTCGCCAACTGGGGAGCAGGAAAGAAAAGTAAGCAAACAATTACATAGTCTTTTTTCAGTCTTAAGACACTATGTATGAATCTTGGTATCAAATTCTAATTTCCTGTTTCTATGTTGTGTTTCATAATGTAGACATTTTTCAGTAATCCAATTCAAGGATATGACATTTTTAGAATATTTTGGAGCAGATTTTGTGATTTTTTTCTTCAATCACAACAATAAAACAGTATCCATAGTCTTCAATAGAGATTATTCTTTTGAGAGAAAAAAAATACAAATATAAAAATATGTCTCATAATTTTTTGTTACATGTATCTAACTGGGAGTAAGAGCATTTGAATAAAAAAATCTTGTTCAGGATAAACATGGGTTATGGGGAGAGAAGCAGTGACAAAAGCTGTAAGTTCAGTGGAAACTCAAATGTAAATTTATTTCTTGTGGAATTGCAAGGAAAGTTTATGAAGATGTTTAGACTGGATAGTGAAATATAGATTGGAATTTTTTCCCAGGCAGATGTACTAGGGGAAATGCTGGTTAAAAGCAGAAGTAAAGCAAAGGTACAAAGGCAGGAATCTGATTTAGGATGGTAGCAAGACATATGAAAAGGAAGGGAATGTGTGAGCCTCGTAGAATAATAATAGCCCTATGATAAACATGCAGTGACTGTTAGCTACAGTATTATTATAGAAGACTCAATGTTAAATGATGTGCATGCATCATCTATTTCAACCCCACAGTGATGTTTCAGAAAATGCACTGTTACTATCTCTACTTCACAGATTAAAGAGTTGAAGCTTACAGATGTTAGGTAACTTGCAAAGGTCCCACAGTATAGAAAGATTAAAGCCCGAAGTCAGTAGAATCAGGAACAGGAACAAGCACAAGGCAATGGATAGGACCTAGAAAATGATTGCCTTTATTCTGTCTTAATTCATTTTTATGTCTCCTGTGGCACATAGTATATTTCTTCACACATTGTAAGTACCTAATCTGTGTTAGCTGAATAAATTAATAAATACCAATTTAAACTTTATTCTTTCTTTTTTCAATTTCCTCCCTATTCTCAAATTAGGACCTTGAGTCTAATTGGGAAGTTTTTGTCACTGATATATTTGTTACCAGTATTGCCTATTCTTGAGCTTTATTCACAGAAATAATATATGTCCAATAAATTTTGACCACCTGACCAATTGAGAAAAGACAGTATGAGTGTTGTAAAAAAAGAGGACAAAAATATAAACCATATAAAAGAATTGCAATACAGGGAAACTAATTTATCTTTTTGTTCACAACTGTATACCTAAAGACCATTGTGGCAAAGCCTCCAATAGTAAAAATTACTCATGGGGCGTGTCCTATAACAATCTGTTAAATGAATGAGATTACATCATTGAAAAAGCTGGTATGTGAGGAGGAAGAGTTTCTAGCTGGCATGGCTTTTGCTCCCTTCTCTCTTTCTCCTTCCCATTGCATGTTGCTTGTGTTAGTCAGCTTTCCTTTATTTTGATAAATACCTGGAATAAATCTGTTTATAAAGAGAAAACGTTTAGTCTGACTCACAGTTTTGGAGATCTCAGTCCATGACTGATGGGCCTCACTGCTCTGGGCTAAAGTGATGGCACAGCATGTCATGGCAGGAATGAAGGTAGACGAGCCCATTCATGTCATAGCAGTGAAGCAAAAGAGAAAATCCTAACCTGCCTTTGACCCCTACCTAAAGACCTCCCATTAGGCTCCACTTTTTAAAGGCTGCACCATCTCCCAGTAGTGCCAGCAGGCTGTGGGGGTTGCTTTCCAGACTATAGCATGGCTTTTTCTGCAGCACTGTGCCTTTCATGTGTCTCTTTCTTCTTTATTTAATGTCTGTCAAAGCTACATTTGCCATTCTCATTTTCCAGTTTTGACTTAGAAGAAACACGGAATAAGAACTGGGCTTTAGAAGAAGTAAACACTTTTTAAAAATTTTTTTTGGGGGAGAAGGTACTGAAAATTGAATTCAGGACCTCATACTTGCCAGGCAGTTGCTGTGCCGCTGAGCCACATCCCTGGCCAATGAAGACCTTTGATAACATTTTTCTATGAATATTGATTTTTCACTATTATTAAATTGATATTTTATTTTTCAACCTGTGCATTTATAAGTTGTAACTTTCTGAAACTAGAATTAAATATATTTGAAATGAATTTTTAATTCATCATCTTTCATGTCTGTGATTTTTGTTGCTTATATTTTGTGTTGTTTTGAGTTTTTTTTTTGCATTTGGGAAGTGACTCACAGTAACTAAAAATAGGGATCAACAGGGCAAGTTAAGACTATTTGTATAAAAAGCTCCAGAAACTATTTAATTAATAGGGAAAGAATTAGCCAAACTGTTTTTCGAGTTCTGTGACTTTCTTACTTTCAAACCTTTTATAATTCTTAAGGTGATTTAATGTTCAGGATGGGGATTAGTACACAGATAGCAAAGGATTGGAGGCAGTGAGTACTTCATAAAAAGACTACAGATTCCCAGAATAACTGTAAAATAGGGGAGGAAAGGGTATTAGATAAACAGGAATTTTATTCTTATTAGATCTCATGGTAAGAGTCAGTGCAATTAAGGAAATGACAGCCATAAGTCCTTTATTCATTACTAATAAGTACCTCTAGCTTTCACTTACTGAGCACGTGATATATGCCTGTCACTGTGATAGGTACTTTATATACTCATCTTGGCTCAGGACTACCTTAAATTTTCATTTAAACTGTAAAATAAATGAGTTAAGGAGTCGAGGTTAATAATCTGACCCAATCAAAATAAAATCATAACCACCATAAAGATAGTAATTTATATATCTTGACTTATCTGAAGTGAATATTGGTAATTGTCTTTTACAGAATGGTTAAATAATTTGGCTGTAGTCATACAGCTAGAAACTAAAGGAAAAAGAGTAAACTCTGTTGTGTTTTGCTCTAAAATTTATTCTTAGCTTGGCGTGATGGTGCATGCTTGTAATCCCAGCAATGTGGGAAGCTGAGAGGAAAATCACAGGCCAGCCTGAGCAATTTAAGGTCAAGATGCAATATGTATACATGGCAATACCTCATGAATATATTCATTATGTATCACATATACTAATAAAAAATTAAAAGTAAATAAATAAATAAAAATAGAATAAAAGGGCTGGAGATACAGCGCATTGTGAAGGCTCTAGGTTCAATCTCCAGTTCGACAAGAACAAACAAACAAACACACAAAGCAAACAAAACATTCATTTTCTGCTGGGCTTGTAACTAATATGCTGGTATCTTAGTTACTTTTCTCTCCTTGCTGAGACAAAATACTGGACACCCCAAATTAAGGGAGGAAAGGTTTATTTAGCTCACAGTATATGGAGGTTTCAGTCTATAATCAGCTGGCTCCAAGGCAGGATGGCAAGGCATAGGGGCAACAGTTCAAGGTAGGAGAAGACAACAAAAGCAACAAGAACAAAAGGGTGAGGGGAGAGCAAGCCTCTTTTCCTCCCTTATATTGTAAGCAGGCTCCTCCCAACCCCAGGGCCGGTGTAGCATTCACACCATCTCCATGCCCTCCTCTCCCACAAGATGAGGATGTTTACAAGTGAGGACCCTGCTGCTGAGTTAAACTTCTAAATTTCTTCAGTTGACAAGATGTATTAACCATTACATCTGGTAAATACAATTAAATGGTACTAATTTTAAAACTGGGACTATTTTAATGTGAGAACAAATTTGAAACAGTTGGGCTTTATAAATATAGTTAATAAAAATATATGCAGTATTGTGTATTTTACTAACAAATCATTTCACCATTTTCTTTTTGAGTATTTCCTAACTGCATATGGGTAGTAAATACTGTAATCATTTGAATGATTAAAATAAACTTCTTCCAAATCCCAGAGTTTCAAAAGTATATTATTTCATTTATATAACAAAAACGCACACATATGGAAACACATATGAGTGTTTGCCAGGCACCTACATAAACAGCTTCTATGTAATAATTGTGAATTAGTCTGGTTTTTGATCTAATATAATGTCAAGGAAAATTAAGGAATTAGCTACATACTTCTCTCCATTCTTTCTGGAGGACAACCTGCAACTTGATTGAAGGTGAAGTTGATCTCCGTGGAGCCAGTCAGCTCAGCTAATTGTGAGGCAGTTATCCAGATAATTCAATAGAATTTGTTTTAGCTCACAGATCATCCTTCAGGTTTCAGTTCCCTCTGACCGTAGAAATGTGACATTTGAGTCATAGCTCTATTCTTTCTTTTGAAGACCTCTAATTAAATGGAAAGGTTATTAGCCCAAGTTATTTGAGGCTCCATCATAGCAAAAACAAAAACACAATATGGAGTGTTGCATCAGCATGGACATGCACTGATTCAATAAGAGTGTATTGCCCTGAAATGGAATGTCGGTAAACAGCAAGCTAGTTTCAGATGTGACCTGTGCTTAGAGAAGGTTTGAGAATACTTTCCTTGGAGGCATGGGGATTGACCTAAATTACCTTTGAATTGTTTCATACAGCCCAGTAATTCCAAGTATTTGCTTAAACCACAAAGGCTTTATTGATAAGACTTTTTTCAAGTACAGAAATTTTCAGTACTTTCAGTACTTTACAGTTTCTAGAATTACATAGTTATACTTACGAATGAACATATATTTTCTGAGATTAGAATTTGATGCATATGAACTATATACTTTTTATGTTTGAAGATTCAGAAATGTCATCAGATATACAAATGAAGAAATGTTATTGGGAGAAAAATATGATGAAACCTTGGTTATTTAAACTTTGAACCAGCCTTGAGGGCCAGGTATTGTATACTTAACCTATTTACCATTTTCCCCAAGAATACTTGCTAGAAGTGCTGGTGTTTAACTTGTGATGATTTATAGGTTATAATCCTAGCCTTATTCCCCAAACTTGCCATGAGCTGTCTTAATTTTATTGTTATTTTTGTATTACTCTAGTATATCCACAGTCTTTGGAAACAAAAGACATCATCAATTTATGGCATTTT